TTTTCACTTGATTTTTTTTTTTTTTTTTTGAGATGGAATCTCGCTCTGTCACTTAGGCTGGAGTGCAGCGGCATGATCTCGGCTCACTGCAGCCTCCACCTTTCCAGTTCAAGTGATTCTCCTGCGTCAGTCTCTCAAGTAACTGGGATATATTTTTAGCATATTTTTATTAGAGACAAGGTTTCACCATGTTGGTCAGGCTGGTCTCGAACTCCTGAGCTCGTCATCCACCCACCTTGGCCTCCCAAAGTGCTAGGATTACAGGTGTGAGCCACCATGCCCAGCTCACTTGATTTTTAAGAACGTGTGTGTGTGTGTGTGTGCCTGTGTGTGCGTGTGTGTGTGCGTGTGTGTGTGCGTGTGTGTGTCTGTGACAGTCTCACTCCCATTGCCCAGGCTGGAGTGCAATGGCATGATCTTAGCTCACAATAGCCTCTGCATTCTGGATTCAAGCAATTCTCCTGCCTCAGCCTCCTGAGTAGCTGGGACTACAGGTGTGTACCACCATGCTTGGCTAATTTTTGTATTTTCTGTAGAGACAGGATTTCACTATGTTGGCAGGCTGTTCTCAAATTCCTGACCTCAAGTGATCTGCCTGCCTCAGCCTCCCAAAGTGTTGAGATTACAGGCGTGAGCCACCACTCTCGGCCAAGAACTTTTTATATATTAGAAAGATTTCCAGGCTGGACGCAGTGGCTCACATCTGTAATCTCAGCAAATTGGGAGGCCAAGCTGGGAGGATTGCTTCAGGCCAGGAGTTCAAGACCAGCCTGGGCAACATAGTGAGACCCCGTCTCTACAAAAAGTTTAAAAATTAGCCAGGCATGGTGGCATGCACATGTAGTCCCAGCTACTTGGGAGGCTGAGGCGGAAGGATTGCTTGAGCGCGGGTCAAGGCTGCAGTGAGTTGTAATTGCACCACTGCACTCCAGCCTGGGCAACAAAGTGAGACACTGTTTCTCAAAAAATAAATAAATAGGCCATGTGCAGTGGCTCCCGCCTGTAATGCCAGCACTTTGGGAGGCCGAGGTGGGCGGATCACGAAGTCAGGACTTTGAGAGCAGCCTGGCCAACATGGTGAAACCCCGTGTCTACTAAAAATACAAAAATTGGCTGAGTGTGGTGGCTGGTGCCTGTAATCCCAGCTATTTGGGAGGCTGAGGCAGGAGAATTGCTTGAACCCGGGAGGCGGAGGTTGCAGTGAGGCTGGACTGCACCACTGCCCTCCAGCCTGGGCGACAGAGTGAGACTCTGTCTCAAAAATAAATAAATAAATAAAATAAAAAACAATAAATAAATAAACAAGAGATTTCTGTCTGTCCCCATCCCAGCTCTCTACCCACTCTGCCCGTAGCCTGGCTTAGCTCATGTCGAGTCTCACTTGGATGAGAGCAAGCGCCTCCTTAACTGGCTTCCAGGCCTTCACTGCTGTCCCTCTCTGACCCATTGTCCATATTGGAACTAGGATGACGTTATCATGCAAATCTGATCATGTCGCCCCCTCCACTGACTGGATTCCTGTTGTCCTTGGGATGAGCAGCTCCTTAACGGGGCTTTGGGAACCACCTCCCCTGGCCGTGTACTCTGTCCTCTTTTGTCTTCAAAGCATCTTTTCGAAGAGCTGTATGTGGTCACAGAACGAGGGGCTTTGTGAAATTGCGCTGGCAAGCAGAAAGGAGCAGACCCGGCTTCTGATGCTGGCTACACTGTCTGTCGTCTAAACATCACTTCCCTGGGGAGGCCGTCATCGACACCCCTCCATTATCTCTGTTCCCAGGACCATGGGAACTTCATCCCGTCACTCACGGCTCCTGTTTTATCACTAGACTATAAGCTCCCTGAGGGCAGAGTGTGCGCCTGCTTCCCTACTGGACCTAGCAGGGGCTCCACAGTATTTTTTTTTTTTTTTTTTGAGATGGAGTCTCACTCTTGCTGCCCAGGCTGGAGTACAATGGTGTGATCTCCGCTCACGGCAACCTCTGCCTCCTGGGTTCAAGCGATTCTCCTGCCTCAGCCTCCTGAGTAGCTGGGACTACAGGTGCGTACCACCACACCCAGCCCATTTTTGTATTTCCAGTAGAGGTGAGGTTTCACCATGTTGGCCAAGATGGTCTTGAGCTCCTGACCGCGTGATCCGCCTGCCTTGGCCTCCCAAAGTTCCGGGATTACAGGCGTGAGCCACCATGGCCAGCCTTCATCAGTATTTTTTAATGGATGGCCTGGACTGCCAAGTCAACAGGTTGTTTGGTGCCAGGTAAATACTGGAAGGATGGAATGAAAGAATGAGTGGTCCTGCCCATGTTCCTGAAGGTGAAGTGCTTATTTCCAGAATTACTCAGCTGCCATTGAATTTCCTTCCAGTGGGACCTTCTTATTCAAGATGGCTTCAATTCAAAACTCTTCAATCAGCAGAGAGTTTTGAGAACCAGTGGGAGGGGTTCCTGGGGAGCAGGGCTATGATCCCGTAGGGATTTGTTTATTCAGCTGATGTTAATAAACGAAGCTGAGGGTAACAAGCTGTCACTTAGCCTCTCCGGGCTAGGCCAGAACTGCCATTGGTTAAGTTTCAGATTTCAGCCCCAAAGTAAAATGTCACCGCCTTGGATGAGGGATATTTATGAGTGTCTGAGGGAGATCACAGTCTCATTCCCTTCCATCACTAGCATGAGACTGAAAAAAAAAAAGAAAATCAAATTCAGGTTAGAACAGAGACGTGCTGAGATGCTGGGCCAGAGACCCCGAGGGGACCTGCTGTTGTTTGTCAAAACGCAAGGCCACTGAGGGAGAAGCCAGCCACGCCTCCCCCTCCACTCGCTTTGGAACCCACAGTGTTTGACGGGGCTGCACCTTCCAATTCATAAGACGCTCCGCTTCCACCCTGGTGCTGGGTACTGGATTAACCACACGGCATGTGGCAGAACGAGGGCGCAAACCACGGCTCCTGCTGCAGAGGAAAATGCAGGCACCTCGGCCGCTGTGGGCTGTGGGTCCAACGTGAGCAGCCTCGGGGCACAGAGGGATTCTGTTCGTGTCTGTCGCCTCTGCCATCCCGAGTCTCAGAGGCTTCTGTGCACCTGACCATGGCAGGCTGTGTGCCCGCCTGTGAAAACCACTCCACCATCACGGTTACCATGGTGTTGCACGTTGGCAAATTTGGGGAACATCACCTTCCAGGCCACTTAAAGCATTCTAATAAGAGCTTTGACAAACACAAGGGTTCTTTTGAATACAATAATAATCAGGGTTAGTTGGCTGTACTGGTGGTTTCTGGTCTGCAGAGGGTTAATGGTGATGACCATGACCTTGCCTCCCAGGTTGGGTTTCTCTATCAGGCCCACCCCCTACTGTGGACTGATTTTCTGCATCCCAGATTCGTTCCCACAACCCCCACCGCACTGAGGGCAAGAGAAAACCCGAAGCTCTGCTGAGAACCACGTCCCCTGCTCCCTGCTCCCTGTTCCCCTCACTGCAGTTTTCCTGTGAGCCGAGGACTTTCGTTCCACAGATTTGTTTGCTTCTTTCTGTTCCTTTCTCCCGCAGGCTTACCCTGCCCCGAGGAGGGTGACTAAGGGGAAATGGAGCATTTCCAGCCAGGGGCCATCACAGTTGCTGTATCAAATATCTCTTCCAGGCAGTGGATTTCATGACAGGCGCATCTTTATTCGGGAAAATTAATGCACCTAATTTAGAGGGATGGACTTCCCTTCCAGGAATGTTCCCCCCACCTCTGTCCCCCATGCCACCTGCCAGATCATCTTCAGTGACGGCAACTATCATTTTTATCCTGGAGACACCATTAAACCGTAAGCCGGGAGGTCTGGCTTCTTGTCCACCTTTTAATGAACATGGGAACTCACTCAGCCAGTCTTCTCCTTTGCAATGGGCATGAGCTCCAAAGGATCAGGAGAGGGGTGGTGGGCATCTGAGACCTGGGGAGCCGCAGTGGTCCTTGGTGGGAGAGCACCAGGCCAATCAATCATGTGAGTCTGAGCGCTCTTTGGGGCCAGAGACACCAGGGGAAGGCACAGAGGGGAAAGGGACTGGGCTGGAGTCTTTCCTAAAATTGCACTTGCCATAGGGATGAGACTTTTTAAAATTTTTTAACTTTTTAATTTTTATTTATTTATTTATTTATTTATTTATTGAGTTGGAGTCTTGCTCTGTTGCCCAGGCTGGAGTGCAATGGCGCGATCTTGGCTCACTGCAACCTCTGCCTCCCGGGTTCAAGTGATTCTGCTGCCTCAGTCTCCTGAGTAGCTGGGATGACAGGCATTCACCACCACATCTGCCTGATTTTTGTATTTTTAGTAGAGATGGGGTTTCACCATGTTGGCCAGGCTGGTCTCGAACTCCTGACCTCGTGATCTGCCTGGAATTACAGGTGTAAGCCACCACACCCCACTATTTTTAAAAGTTTTATTTATTTATTGAGATGGAGTTTTGCTCTTGTGGCCCAGGCTGGAGTGCAATGGTGCTATCTTGGCTCACTGCAACCCCTGCCTCCCGGGTTCAAGCGATTCTTCTGCCTCAGCCTCCCAAGTAGCTGGGACTACAGGTACCCGCCACCACGCCGGCTAATTTTTTTTTTCTTTTGTATTTTTAGTAGAGACGGGGTTTTACCATGTTGGCCAGGCTGGTCTTGAACTCCTTGCCTCATATGATCCACCTGCCTTGGCCTCCCAAAGTGCTGGGATTACAGGCATGAGCCACTGCGCCCGGCCTTAGTTTTTATTTTTTAAGAGACAAGGTCTAGTTCTGTAGCCCAGATTGAGTGCAGTTGTTCAATCATGGCTCACTGCAGCCTCGAACTCCTGGACTCGGGCAATCCTCTCTCTGTAGCATCCTGAGTAGCTGGGATTGCAGACGCTCACCACCATGCCCAGCAAATTCTTTAATTTTTACTTTTTAGAGATGGGATCTCACTATGTTGCCCAGATTGGGGCATTTTTTTTCCTCTCAGTTTTAAAACTTTTGAGTTAAAAAATTTATTTTTACATGAAAGATGTATGGAACACTTCACGAATTCACATATCATCCTTGCTCAGGGGCCATGCTAATCTCTGTATCATTGCAATTTTAGTAAATGTGCTGCTGAAGGAAGCATTTTTCTATCATATTAACATCAATTTTATAGAAATGAAATTTACATCCTTTTAAAACAGTTGTTTTACCAGAGTAATACATGTACGTAAATTAAAAAGTCAAATGGAGGCCAGGCACAGTGGCTCATGCCTGTAATCCCAGTACTTTGGTAGGCTGAGGGGGCAGATCACCTGAGGTCAGACTTTGAGACTGGCCTGGCCAGCATGGTGAAACCCTGTTTTTACTAAAAATATAAAAGTTAGCCAGGCGTGGTGGCAGGTACCTGTAACCCCAGCTACTCAAGAGGCTGAAGCACAAGAATCATTTGAACCCTGGAGGTGGAAGTTGCAGTGAGCTGAGATTACGCCACTGCACTCCAGCCTGGGCAACAGAGCGAGACTCTGTCTCAAAAAAAAGAAAAAAAAAAAAAAAAGTCAAATGGTACTAAAAGTCATATTGAAAAACACTAATCCCCTCCCCCACCATCCTCCTCACCCCATCTTGCTCCTGAGAAGAAACAATCCTTACTTCTTCTGTGTATTTCACTTTGTGTTTATCTCCGGATTTCTGACTGATGTTGCCGTTCTTTTCTTTCTTAATTCTTTCTTTATACATGCCTATTATGGTGGGGGGTGGGAACCAGGCCCTGCCTGTTCCAATGACCCCATCACTTCAGCTGCTCAGTCTTCCCACAATGTGGCCATATCACAACTTTGGTTAAATTGATAGTGTTTATAATGACTGTGCAAATAATGTTTAACTCGAAATGTTCCTCAACTCTTATGGTCTCCTCAAAACCTGCTGCGGTGGTTTGAAAACATATCTCAGATTCTTGGATTCTCGTCTCATCAAGACGAGGAATCTGATTCCCTCCCTGCTTTCACATGGTGACCCAGCTCTAAGGAACAGAATGCCGCTGAAATGCCGCTGTGTTGCTTCTGACACAGGTCATACAGCGAGATACAGCTTCCCTCTCACTCTTAGGAGCTGTGCCTTTGGAGCCCTGGACCACCATACACGAAGCCTGGCTATCCTGAAGCCACCATGCTACAGAGATCCTGTCCAGAGAGCACAGAGAGAGGGCCCCAAGGAGCCCCTGCCAGTCCATCCCTGAGCTCTAAGAATCTTCTAGTAGAGGAATCAGACATATGAGCGAGGAGGCCTTTGAGATGACTCTAGCCCCAACCACGGAGCGAGGCCTGCCTAGCTGAGCTAGTTAACTGCCAGGGTCTTCAGAGCTAATAATAATCAATGATTGTTGTTTTATGTCTGTAAGTTTAGGTTGGTTCAGCAGCAGGTGATGGGAACATTGTTGCAATTGTGGTCTCACCTCATTTGACCACAACTTTATCCCTCCAGTTGCTCAGGCTGTCTTTGATTTCTCTTTCTTTCATACTCCTCATTCTATAAGGAATATTTGACTCTGCCTTCAAAATATCCAAAATCCAGTTGCTTCTCACCACCTCCTGTCAGGGTTACTACTTGTGGGGGCCTGTCCTGCAGACCTTGACCCAGCGATGGATGAATAAAGTGTACTGACACACAGATATTATGCTTTGCCAGTTTGGTTGAGTGTCTGTGGCTGCTTACAGACACCTTGGAGAGTGCTGTAAACAGTTGTGACCACTGGCCCTCACCAGCCAATGAGACTCACATTTATTCAGTACAGTTTAATTGACAAAGGCTGGAGTCAATACCACTAGAAGTTAAAGATTAAAGGACAGGTTCTGATGCCTAAAGCAGACACCATTAGTGGGTAATATCCTTGGTCAGCCTCCCCTGGAGAGAGCCATCTGCAATGATCGAAGGTTAATTTTAGGCCAGGCACACTGGCTCACAGCTGTAATCCCAGCACTTTGGAAGGCTGGGGTGGGCAGATCATGAGGTCAAGGGATCGAGATCATCCTGGCCAGCATGGTGAAACCCCGTCTCTACTAAAAATTCAAAAATTAGCCAGGCATGGTGGCACACACCTGAGGTCCTAGCTACTCAGGAGGCTGAGGCAGGAGAATTGCTTGAACCCAGGAGGCGGAGGTTGCAGTGGGCCGGGATTGCACCACTGCACTCCAGCCTGGTGACAGAGCAAGATTCTGTCTCAAAAACTAAAACAAAAAACAAAACAAAAAAAACCCCACAAAGGTTACTTTTATAGGGCCACATGAGCAAACAAGCTAGCTAGGTAAACTACTCAGAGTCCTTTGTATTTGCACCCTAATCTCTCCAGCTCCTGCAAAGAGACTCTGCCTCTCTTCAGCCAAGAACTGTAGAAGAAACCCTTAGGCCTTCCATTAGGGTTTGAGACTATATTGTATAACTTTCTCTAATACTTTTCCTTAATAATTTCCACCACCGTGAGTGAATCCCCATAACCTCCAATGCTTCCACCCTGGTCTAAGCCACCATCATCCAATGGGTCCATGAGTATCGCCTTTCACCTGGATCACTGCAGAGGTTCTGACTGCAAAAGCATCGTACTTCCACCGGTTCCCTCCTACCATTTATTCTCAGCACATAGGCAGAATTATCTTGCCAACATGTAAGTCAGATCATGTTGCTCTTCTGCACAAAACACTGCAGCAGCTCCCATCTTGCTCAGAGTAAATGGCTGAGTCCTCACAACGTCCTGGCCCTTCTTGTCTCTCTGAGCTCATTGCCTAGTCTCCTCCCCTCTCCAGTTCTGCGGCAGCCACACTCTCCTTGCTAGTCCCTGAATGCATGAGGCTCCCTTCTACCTCAGGCCCTTTGCACGAGCCATTCTCTTCATTTATTTCCTGGACTTAATCGTTACTTTTTGTTTGTCATTTGCTACTATTCTATGTGGCAACTGCTAATTTTTTCCCCAAGTGCTTTCATGTTTCTGGAGCCTATTTTCCATATCCTGAAACGCACCATTTTCTTTGATTCCTGGGTGTCACTCCCAGTGCCTGCCATCCTGCCCCCCTCTGGACTGGTGGCTGCCTATCCATTATGATCCTGGCATTTCTCTTCACTGCTGTCCAGCATTGAATCCCACGACTTCTAGTTCCACATTCTTTTTCTTAGTTTACTTCCTCATTTTGTTGGTGCACATCCTGCGGCAGCTACTTAGGAGGGGATACACATGTGAGGTAAAATGTGAGTCCTCGCATATCGGAGATGCTTTTATTCCACCTACCTATTTCATTGATCGTCTGGTTACAAGCATTCTTGACTGAAAATCGTTTTCACACAGAAGCTTGAAGTCTTTGTTCTCTAAATTTTAGTGCAGCTATTTAGAAGTCCAAGGCTGATACCTGAACTTCTGTATGTTTTTTTTTTTTTTTTTCTTTCAGGGAGATTTAGAAATCTTTTCTTTATTCTGGGTTTTCTGAAATTTGTGATGATGCACCTTAGTGTGGGCATTTAGTCGGGCCTCTCAATCTGGAGACTCACATCTTTCTTTCTTTTTTGTTTTAAAGACGGGGTTTCACCATGTTGCTCAGGCTGGTCTTGAACTCCCGACCTCAGGTGATCCGCCCGCCTTGGCCTCCGAAGTGCTTGGATTACAGCTGTGAGCCACCATGCCCGGCATCACATCTTTTAATTTTGGGGAGTGGTATTGTTTTTCCTTTCCGTCTCTCTCCTCTATTTTCCCCATACGGCATTCCTATTAGCTGGAAACTGGACTTCCTAGAGTGGTCCTCATTCTTATGTTTCTTCAATTATTATTATTTTTAAATCTCTGTGTATTTTTGTTCTATTTTATCTTCCACGAAACTTGCTTTTACATATTTCATTCTGACTCTTCTTTTGAACACTTTCCAAAATTTCATTTTCGTTTTCTCATTAATTCCTTTAAAAGTCACATCCAAAAAAGAGAATAAAGCATTTCACTCCTGTTAAATGGATAGAACATCTTAGTTTACTTTTCTGAAGAAATTACTCATCAAATGTTTTTCACTTTTTGTTTCTACTCCTTCCAGCATCTCTGCTTTCTCCAAATTCCTTTTTCCTATTTGTCTGGATGCCTCTCTTCCAAGTTGGAGGCTGTCTTTAAATATCAGGTGATCCTGGGCTGCCTGTTCTTGTCTAAGTGTGACCCGCTGAAATCATAAAGGGGGACTCTGAGGGACTGGATGAGGCTTGTCCATAGAAGGATTTATGACAAGGTTGCTAGACAGCAAACTGGCTTTTTCTTCCTTCCTTCCTTTTCCTTCCTTCCTTCCTTCCTTCCTTCCTTCCTTCCTTCCTTCCTTCCTTCCTTCCTTCCTTCCTTCCTCCCTTCCTCCCTCCCTCCCTCCCTCCCTCCTTCCCTCCCTCCTTCCCTTCCTCTGTTTCTTTCTTCCTCTTTCCTTTCTTTCTTTCTTTCTTTCCTTCTTTCTTTCTTTGAGATGGAGTTTCCCTCTTGTTGCCCAGGCTGGAGTGCAACGGCGCAATCTTGGCTCACTGCAACCTCTGCCTCCCCAGTTCAAGCGATTCTCCTGCCTCAGCCTCCTAAGTAGCTGGGATTACAGGTGTGTGCCACCACGCCCAGCTAACTTTGTTTTTTCTTTCTTTTTTTAGTAGAGATGGGGTTTCACCCTGTTGGACAGGCTGGTTTTGAACTCGTGACCTCAGGTGCTCCATGTGCCTCAGCCTCCCAAAGTGCTGGGATTACAGGCATGAGCCACCACGCCCAGCCCAAACTGGTGTTCAAATTGGGGCAGGACTCCAAGATGTCAGAATGTGGAGGTCTTTTCTCTGGAGCCATTCAGCTATCCAGGGAGAAGATGTCACACCTCCTGCTGGCAGTGGGGGTGGAGAGGGATGCGATGAGTGGGTGGACAGAGCTGGGGTGTGCCTGCTGTAAGGGGAGGAAGGGGGTGCATCCTTCCCCTATACAGGCCACTTAGCTCCCCTGTTTTCAGTCCCGTGCCTCATGTACACCTTCTGTAGATTTGGATCTCCCCGTCCTCGGCATCTAGAGTTGTGCAAGACCAAGCCCCTCTGCTTGTTACTTTCCTTGTCTGCGGGGAGCCAGCAGTGATCCCCAGTTCTGCCAAGTCCGTGCCTGCTCCTCTCCCT